AACGTCCAAGAGACTCGGGAGTTGGTTCATTGCACTCCAGAATTTAATCCCTAGCTCCAAGCCCCATGCACCCCTATGGAAAAATCAAATTTTTTAGGAATGTCCTGTAGACTCCAACACTCAGAAAAACTCTAGCTCCAAGCTCCAACCCTACTTAGCTCCAACACTAACGAACCTTAACCCTAGTCCTAGAGACTCGGGAGTTGGTTCAGTGCACTCAGAAAAATCCTAGCTCCAAGCCCAACCCTAACAGAGTCCTAGCTCCAACACTAACCCTAACTCCAACCCTAACCCTAACCCTAACCCTAGCTCCAACCCTAACCCTAACCATAACCCTAACCCATGCATTCCTATGGGAAAAAAAATCAAATTTTTTTAGGAATGTCCTAGAGACTCGGGAGTTGGTTCAGTGCACCCAGAAAAATCCTAGCTCCAAGCCCAACCCTAACCCTAGCTCCAACACTAACCCTAACTCCAACCCTAACCCTAACCCTAACCCTAGCTCCAACCCTAACCCTAACCCTAACCCATGCATTCCTATGGGAAAAAAATCAAATTTTTTTTAGGAATGTCCCTAGAGACTCGGGAGTTGGTTCAGTGCACTCAGAAAAAAATCCTAGCTCCAAGCCCAACCCTAACCCTAGCTCCAACACTAACCCTAACTCCAACCCTAACCCTAACCCTAACCCTAGCTCCAACCCTAACCCTAACCCTAACCCATGCATTCCTATGGGAAAAATCAAATTTTTTTAGGAACGTCCTAGAGACTCGGGAGTTGGTTCAGTGCACTCAGAAAAATCCTAGCTCCAAGCCCAACCCTAACCCTAGCTCCAACACTAACCCTAACTCCAACCCTAACCCTAACCCTAACCCTCCTAGCTCCAACCCTAACCCTAACCATAACCCTAACCCATGCATTCCTATGGGAAAAAATCAAATTTTTTTAGGAATGTCCTAGAGACTCGGGAGTTGGTTCAGTGCACTCAGAAAAATCCTAGCTCCAAGCCCAACCCTAACCCTAGCTCCAACACTAACCCTAACTCCAACCCTAACCCTAACCCTAACCCTGCAAGCTCTTGGGCAACCCTAACCCTAACCCTAACCCATGCATTCCTATGGGAAAAAAATCAAATTTTTTTAGGAACGTCCTAGAGACTCCTCATGGCCTGCAACTCAGACTCCCTTAGCAAAACCCTATCCTATCCAAATTTTTTGCCCTAGACGTCCTAGAGACCTAAGCTCATCCAACCTAACTACCCTAACCCTAACTCACTAACCCTAACTCCTCCAACCCTAACCCACCTAGCCTCCAACCCTGGCCCTAACCCCAACCCATGCATTCCTATGGGAAAATCAAATTTTTTTTAGGAACGTGTCCTAGAGACTCGGAGTTGGTTCATTGCACTCAGAAAAATCCTAGCTCCAAGCCCAACCCTAGACCCTAGCTCCAACACCTAACTCCTAACTCCAACCCTGTTCTCTAACCCTAACCTCTACCCAAAAAACTTAACTTCTAACCCTAACCCTATGCCCAATACTAACTCCTATCCCCAAATTTTAACCCTGGAAGACTAGAGACCTTGGCCTGTCTCTCTAACTCCACGAATCAAATTTTTTCCAGAATTCCGCTAGCTCCAACACCCTACCCAACAATTCCAACCCTAATTCTCAACTCCCAACCAACTCCTAACCCCAACCCTAAATTTATTCCTAGGGGACCCCAACCCATTTAAATCAAATTTTTTTAATGTCCTAGAGACTGTCCATAGAGACTCAGAAAAGTTGTTCCTAGCCCACTCCAACCCTAACCTCAACTGTCCTAATCCCCACCCTAACCCTAACCCTAACCCCAACCTTGCACCCTATGCCACAAATTTAAAAAAATCAAATTTTTTAGGAATGTCCTAGAGACTCGGGAGCTGGTTCACCCTAAGCCCTCAGAAAAATCCTAAGCTCCCTAGGGCAACAAATTTTTTAGGAATAACCCTAACTCCAACCCTAACCCTAACCCTAACCCTAGCTCCAACCCTAACCCTAACCCCTAACCATGCATTCCTATGGGAAAAAAATCAAATTTTTTTTTAGAATGTCCTAGACTCGGTTCTAGACTCAGCTACCAAGCCCAACCCTAACTAGGCTCCAACACTAACTCCTAACTCCAACCCTAACCTACCCTAACCCTAACCCTAACCCCGCTTCCAAAAATTCATAAAAATAATTTCCTTTTTTTCCCATGGAATGCAATGGGATTAGGTTATGGTTATTAGAAACCTAGAGACTGGAGTTGGAGTTCAGTTACGGACCCAAGCCCAACCCTAACTCCTAGCTCCAACACTAACCCTAACTCCACCCTAACCCTAACCCTACTCCACCCTAACCATAATAACCCATGCATTCCCATGCAAATCATTTTTTAGGAATGTCCTAGAGACTCGGGAGTTAGGGTTCAGTGTTGGAGCTAGAAAAAATCCTGGGCTCCAGGCCCCTAGGATTTTTCTAGCTCCAACCCTAACCAACTCCCTAACCTCTAGGACATTCCTAAAAAAATTTGAGTTTTTCCCATAGGAATGCATGGGTTAGGGTTAGGGTTAGGGTTGGAGCTAGGGTTAGGGTTAGGGTTAGGGTTGGAGTTAGGGTTAGTGTTGGAGCTAGGGTTAGGGTTGGGCTTGGAGCTAGGATTTTTCTGAGTGCACTGAACCAACTCCCGAGTCTCTAGGACATTCCTAAAAAAATTTGATTTTTCCCATAGGAATGCATGGGTTAGGGTTATGGTTAGGGTTAGGGTTGGAGCTAGGGTTAGGGTTAGGGTTAGGGTTGGAGTTAGGGTTAGTGTTGGAGCTAGGGTTAGGGTTGGGCTTGGAGCTAGGATTTTTCTGAGTGCACTGAACCAACTCCCGAGTCTCTAGGACATTCCTAAAAAAATTTGATTTTTTCCCATAGGAATGCATGGGTTAGGGTTATGGTTAGGGTTAGGGTTGGAGCTAGGGTTAGGGTTAGGGTTAGGGTTGGAGTTAGGGTTAGTGTTGGAGCTAGGGTTAGGGTTGGGCTTGGAGCTAGGATTTTTCTGAGTGCACTGAACCAACTCCCGAGTCTCTAGGACATTCCTAAAAAAATTTGATTTTTTCCCATAGGAATGCATGGGTTAGGGTTATGGTTAGGGTTAGGGTTGGAGCTAGGGTTAGGGTTAGGGTTAGGGTTGGAGTTAGGGTTAGTGTTGGAGCTAGGGTTAGGGTTGGGCTTGGAGCTAGGATTTTTCTGAGTGCACTGAACCAACTCCCGAGTCTCTAGGACATTCCTAAAAAAATTTGATTTTTTCCCATAGGAATGCATGGGTTAGGGTTATGGTTAGGGTTAGGGTTGGAGCTAGGGTTAGGGTTAGGGTTAGGGTTGGAGTTAGGGTTAGTGTTGGAGCTAGGGTTAGGGTTGGGCTTGGAGCTAGGATTTTTCTGAGTGCACTGAACCAACTCCCGAGTCTCTAGGACGTTCCTAAAAAAATTTGATTTTTTCCCATAGGAATGCATGGGTTAGGGTTAGGGTTAGGGTTGGAGCTAGGGTTAGGGTTAGGGTTAGGGTTGGAGTTAGGGTTAGTGTTGGAGCTCAGGGTTGGGCTTGGAGCTAGGATTTTTCTGAGTGCACTGAACCAACTCCCGAGTCTCTAGGACATTCCTAAAAAATTTGATTTTTTCCCATAGGAATGCATGGGTTAGGGTTAGGGTTAGGGTTGGAGCTAGGGTTAGGGTTAGGGTTAGGGTTGGAGTTAGGGTTAGTGTTGGAGCTAGGGTTAGGGTTGGGCTTGGAGCTAGGATTTTTCTGAGTGCACTGAACCAACTCCCGAGTCTCTAGGACATTCCTAAAAAAATTTGATTTTTTCCCATAGGAATGCATGGGTTAGGGTTATGGTTAGGGTTAGGGTTGGAGCTAGGGTTAGGGTTAGGGTTAGGGTTGGAGTTAGGGTTAGTGTTGGAGCTAGGGTTAGGGTTGGGCTTGGAGCTAGGATTTTTCTGAGTGCACTGAACCAACTCCCGAGTCTCTAGGACATTCCTAAAAAATTTGATTTTTTCCCATAGGAATGCATGGGTTAGGGTTATGGTTAGGGTTAGGGTTGGAGCTAGGGTTAGGGTTAGGGTTAGGGTTGGAGTTAGGGTTAGTGTTGGAGCTAGGGTTAGGGTTGGGCTTGGAGCTAGGATTTTTCTGAGTGCACTGAACCAACTCCCGAGTCTCTAGGACATTCCTAAAAAAATTTGATTTTTTCCCATAGGAATGCATGGGTTAGGTTATGGTTAGGGTTAGGGTTGGAGCTAGGGTTAGGGTTAGGGTTAGGGTTGGAGTTAGGGTTAGTGTTGGAGCTAGGGTTAGGGTTGGGCTTGGAGCTAGGATTTTTCTGAGTGCACTGAACCAACTCCCGAGTCTCTAGGACATTCCTAAAAAAATTTGATTTTTTCCCATAGGAATGCATGGGTTAGGGTTATGGTTAGGGTTAGGGTTGGAGCTAGGGTTAGGGTTAGGGTTAGGGTTGGAGTTAGGGTTAGTGTTGGAGCTAGGGTTAGGGTTGGGCTTGGAGCTAGGATTTTTCTGAGTGCACTGAACCAACTCCCGAGTCTCTAGGACATTCCTAAAAAAATTTGATTTTTTCCCATAGGAATGCATGGGTTAGGGTTAGGGTTAGGGTTGGAGCTAGGGTTAGGGTTAGGGTTAGGGTTGGAGTTAGGGTTAGTGTTGGAGCTAGGGTTAGGGTTGGGCTTGGAGCTAGGATTTTTCTGAGTGCACTGAACCAACTCCCGAGTCTCTAGGACATTCCTAAAAAAATTTGATTTTTTCCCATAGGAATGCATGGGTTAGGGTTAGGGTTAGGAGCTAGGGTTAGGGTTAGGGTTAGGGTTGGAGTTAGGGTTAGTGTTGGAGCTAGGGTTAGGGTTGGGCTTGGAGCTAGGATTTTTCTGAGTGCACTGAACCAACTCCCGAGTCTCTAGGACATTCCTAAAAAATTTGATTTTTTCCCATAGGAATGCATGGGTTAGGGTTATGGTTAGGGTTAGGGTTGGAGCTAGGGTTAGGGTTAGGGTTAGGGTTGGAGTTAGGGTTAGTGTTGGAGCTAGGGTTAGGGTTGGGCTTGGAGCTAGGATTTTTCTGAGTGCACTGAACCAACTCCCGAGTCTCTAGGACATTCCTAAAAAAATTTGATTTTTTCCCATAGGAATGCATGGGTTAGGGTTATGGTTAGGGTTAGGGTTGGAGCTAGGGTTAGGGTTAGGGTTAGGGTTGGAGTTAGGGTTAGTGTTGGAGCTAGGGTTAGGGTTGGGCTTGGAGCTAGGATTTTTCTGAGTGCACTGAACCAACTCCCGAGTCTCTAGGACGTTCCTAAAAAAATTTGATTTTTTCCCATAGGAATGCATGGGTTAGGGTTAGGGTTAGGGTTGGAGCTAGGGTTAGGGTTAGGGTTAGGGTTGGAGTTAGGGTTAGTGTTGGAGCTAGGGTTAGGGTTGGGCTTGGAGCTAGGATTTTTCTGAGTGCACTGAACCAACTCCCGAGTCTCTAGGACATTCCTAAAAAAATTTGATTTTTTCCCATAGGAATGCATGGTTAGGGTTATGGTTAGGGTTAGGGTTGGAGCTAGGGTTAGGGTTAGGGTTAGGGTTGGAGTTAGGGTTAGTGTTGGAGCTAGGGTTAGGGTTGGGCTTGGAGCTAGGATTTTTCTGAGTGCACTGAACCAACTCCCGAGTCTCTAGGACATTCCTAAAAAAATTTGATTTTTTCCCATAGGAATGCATGGGTTAGGGTTAGGGTTAGGGTTGGAGCTAGGGTTAGGGTTAGGGTTAGGGTTGGAGTTAGGGTTAGTGTTGGAGCTAGGGTTAGGGTTGGGCTTGGAGCTAGGATTTTTCTGAGTGCACTGAACCAACTCCCGAGTCTCTAGGACATTCCTAAAAAAATTTGATTTTTTCCCATAGGAATGCATGGGTTAGGGTTATGGTTAGGGTTAGGGTTGGAGCTAGGGTTAGGGTTAGGGTTAGGGTTGGAGTTAGGGTTAGTGTTGGAGCTAGGGTTAGGGTTGGGCTTGGAGCTAGGATTTTTCTGAGTGCACTGAACCAACTCCCGAGTCTCTAGGACATTCCTAAAAAAATTTGATTATTTCCCATAGGAATGCATGGGTTAGGGTTAGGGTTAGGGTTGGAGCTAGGGTTAGGGTTAGGGTTAGGGTTGGAGTTAGGGTTAGTGTTGGAGCTAGGGTTAGGGTTGGGCTTGGAGCTAGGATTTTTCTGAGTGCACTGAACCAACTCCCGAGTCTCTAGGATGTTCCTAAAAAAATTTGATTTTTTCCCATAGGAATGCATGGGTTAGGGTTATGGTTAGGGTTAGGGTTGGAGCTAGGGTTAGGGTTAGGGTTGGAGTTAGGGTTAGTGTTGGAGCTAGGGTTAGGGTTGGGCTTGGAGCTAGGATTTTTCTGAGTGCAATGAACCAACTCCCGAGTCTCTAGGACGTTCCTAAAAAATTTGATTTTTTCCCATAGGAATGCATGGGTTAGGGTTAGGGTTAGGGTTGGAGCTTGGGTTAGGGTTAGGGTTAGGGTTGGAGTTAGGGTTAGTGTTGGAGCTAGGGTTAGGGTTGGGCTTGGAGCTAGGATTTTTCTGAGTGCACTGAACCAACTCCCGAGTCTCTAGGACGTTCCTAAAAAAATTTGATTTTTTCCCATAGGAATGCATGGGTTAGGGTTAGGGTTAGGGTTGGAGCTAGGGTTAGGGTTAGGGTTAGGGTTGGAGTTAGGGTTAGTGTTGGAGCTAGGGTTAGGGTTGGGCTTGGAGCTAGGATTTTTCTGAGTGCACTGAACCAACTCCCGAGTCTCTAGGACATTCCTAAAAAAATTTGATTTTTTCCCATAGGAATGCATGGGTTAGGGTTAGGGTTAGGGTTGGAGCTAGGGTTAGGGTTAGGGTTAGGGTTGGAGTTAGGGTTAGTGTTGGAGCTAGGGTTAGGGTTGGGCTTGGAGCTAGGATTTTTCTGAGTGCACTGAACCAACTCCCGAGTCTCTAGGACATTCCTAAAAAAATTTGATTTTTTCCCATAGGAATGCATGGGTTAGGGTTATGGTTAGGGTTAGGGTTGGAGCTAGGGTTAGGGTTAGGGTTAGGGTTAGGGTTAGGGTTAGTTAGGTTAGTGTTGGAGCTAGGGTTAGGGTTGGGCTTGGAGCTAGGATTTTTCTGAGTGCACTGAACCAACTCCCGAGTCTCTAGGACATTCCTAAAAAAATTTGATTTTTTCCCATAGGAATGCATGGGTTAGGGTTAGGGTTAGGGTTGGAGCTAGGGTTAGGGTTAGGGTTAGGGTTGGAGTTAGGGTTAGTGTTGGAGCTAGGGTTAGGGTTGGGCTTGGAGCTAGGATTTTTCTGAGTGCACTGAACCAACTCCCGAGTCTCTAGGACGTTCCTAAAAAAATTTGATTTTTTCCCATAGGAATGCATGGGTTAGGGTTATGGTTAGGGTTAGGGTTGGAGCTAGGGTTAGGGTTAGGGTTAGGGTTGGAGTTAGGGTTAGTGTTGGAGCTAGGGTTAGGGTTGGGCTTGGAGCTAGGATTTTTCTGAGTGCACTGAACCAACTCCCGAGTCTCTAGGACGTTCCTAAAAAAATTTGATTTTTTCCCATAGGAATGCATGGGTTAGGGTTAGGGTTAGGGTTGGAGCTAGGGTTAGGGTTAGGGTTAGGGTTGGAGTTAGGGTTAGTGTTGGAGCTAGGGTTAGGGTTGGGCTTGGAGCTAGGATTTTTCTGAGTGCACTGAACCAACTCCCGAGTCTCTAGGACGTTCCTAAAAAAATTTGATTTTTTCCCATAGGAATGCATGGGTTAGGGTTAGGGTTAGGGTTGGAGCTAGGGTTAGGGTTAGGGTTAGGGTTGGAGTTAGGGTTAGTGTTGGAGCTAGGGTTAGGGTTGGGCTTGGAGCTAGGATTTTTCTGAGTGCACTGAACCAACTCCCGAGTCTCTAGGACGTTCCTAAAAAAATTTGATTTTTTCCCATAGGAATGCATGGGTTAGGGTTAGGGTTAGGGTTGGAGCTAGGGTTAGGGTTAGGGTTAGGGTTGGAGTTAGGGTTAGTGTTGGAGCTAGGGTTAGGGTTGGGCTTGGAGCTAGGATTTTTCTGAGTGCACTGAACCAACTCCCGAGTCTCTAGGACATTCCTAAAAAAATTTGATTTTTTCCCATAGGAATGCATGGTTTAGGGTTATGGTTAGGGTTAGGGTTGGAGCTAGGGTTAGGGTTAGGGTTAGGGTTGGAGTTAGGGTTAGTGTTGGAGCTAGGGTTAGGGTTGGGCTTGGAGCTAGGATTTTTCTGAGTGCAATGAACCAACTCCCGAGTCTCTAGGACATTCCTAAAAAAATTTGATTTTTTCCCATAGGAATGCATGGGTTAGGGTTAGGGTTAGGGTTGGAGCTAGGGTTAGGGTTAGGGTTAGGGTTGGAGTTAGGGTTAGTGTTGGAGCTAGGGTTAGGGTTGGGCTTGGAGCTAGGATTTTTCTGAGTGCACTGAACCAACTCCCGAGTCTCTAGGACATTCCTAAAAAAATTTGATTTTTTCCCATAGGAATGCATGGGTTAGGGTTATGGTTAGGGTTAGGGTTGGAGCTAGGGTTAGGGTTAGGGTTAGGGTTGGAGTTAGGGTTAGTGTTGGAGCTAGGGTTAGGGTTGGGCTTGGAGCTAGGATTTTTCTGAGTGCACTGAACCAACTCCCGAGTCTCTAGGACATTCCTAAAAAATTTGATTTTTTCCCATAGGAATGCATGGGTTAGGGTTAGGGTTAGGGATTGGAGCTAGGGTTAGGGTTGGGCTTGGAGCTAGGATTTTTCTGAGTGCACTGAACCAACTCCCGAGTCTCTAGGACGTTCCTAAAAAAATTTGATTTTTTCCCATAGGAATGCATGGGTTAGGGTTATGGTTAGGGTTAGGGTTGGAGCTAGGGTTAGGGTTAGGGTTAGGGTTGGAGTTAGGGTTAGTGTTGGAGCTAGGGTTAGGGTTGGGCTTGGAGCTAGGATTTTTCTGAGTGCAATGAACCAACTCCCGAGTCTCTAGGACGTTCCTAAAAAAATTTGATTTTTTCCCATAGGAATGCATGGGTTAGGGTTAGGGTTAGGGTTGGAGCTAGGGTTAGGGTTAGGGTTAGGGTTGGAGTTAGGGTTAGTGTTGGAGCTAGGGTTAGGGTTGGGCTTGGAGCTAGGATTTTTCTGAGTGCACTGAACCAACTCCCGAGTCTCTAGGACATTCCTAAAAAATTTGATTTTTTCCCATAGGAATGCATGGTTAGGGTTATGGTTAGGGTTAGGGTTGGAGCTAGGGTTAGGGTTAGGGTTAGGGTTGGAGTTAGGGTTAGTGTTGGAGCTAAGGGTTAGGGTTGGGCTTGGAGCTAGGATTTTTCTGAGTGCAATGAACCAACTCCCGAGTCTCTAGGACGTTCCCTAAAAAAATTTGATTTTTTCCCATAGGAATGCATGGGTTAGGGTTAGGGTTAGGGTTGGAGCTAGGGTTAGGGTTAGGGTTAGGGTTGGAGTTAGGGTTAGTGTTGGAGCTAGGGTTAGGGTTGGGCTTGGAGCTAGGATTTTTCTGAGTGCACTGAACCAACTCCCGAGTCTCTAGGACATTCCTAAAAAAATTTGATTTTTTCCCATAGGAATGCATGGGTTAGGGTTATGGTTAGGGTTAGGGTTGGAGCTAGGGTTAGGGTTAGGGTTAGGGTTGGAGTTAGGGTTAGTGTTGGAGCTAGGGTTAGGGTTGGGCTTGGAGCTAGGATTTTTCTGAGTGCACTGAACCAACTCCCGAGTCTCTAGGACATTCCTAAAAAAATTTGATTTTTTCCCATAGGAATGCATGGGTTAGGGTTATGGTTAGGGTTAGGGTTGGAGCTAGGGTTAGGGTTAGGGTTAGGGTTGGAGTTAGGGTTAGTGTTGGAGCTAGGGTTAGGGTTGGGCTTGGAGCTAGGATTTTTCTGAGTGCACTGAACCAACTCCCGAGTCTCTAGGACGTTCCTAAAAAAATTTGATTTTTTCCCATAGGAATGCATGGGTTAGGGTTAGGGTTAGGGTTGGAGCTAGGGTTAGGGTAGGGTTAGGGTTAGGGTTGGAGTTAGGGTTAGTGTTGGAGCTAGGGTTAGGGTTGGGCTTGGAGCTAGGATTTTTCTGAGTGCACTGAACCAACTCCCGAGTCTCTAGGACATTCCTAAAAAAATTTGATTTTTTCCCATAGGAATGCATGGGTTAGGGTTAGGGTTAGGGTTGGAGCTAGGGTTAGGGTTAGGGTTAGGGTTGGAGTTAGGGTTAGTGTTGGAGCTAGGGTTAGGGTTGGGCTTGGAGCTAGGATTTTTCTGAGTGCACTGAACCAACTCCCGAGTCTCTAGGACGTTCCTAAAAAAATTTGATTTTTTCCCATAGGAATGCATGGGTTAGGGTTAGGGTTAGGGTTGGAGCTAGGGTTAGGGTTAGGGTTAGGGTTGGAGTTAGGGTTAGTGTTGGAGCTAGGGTTAGGGTTGGGCTTGGAGCTAGGATTTTTCTGAGTGCACTGAACCAACTCCCGAGTCTCTAGGACATTCCTAAAAAATTTGATTTTTTCCCATAGGAATGCATGGGTTAGGGTTAGGGATAGGGTTGGAGCTAGGGTTAGGGTTAGGGTTAGGGTTAGGGTTGGAGCTAGGGTTAGGGTTAGGGTTAGGGTTGGAGTTAGGGTTAGTGTTGGAGCTAGGGTTAGGGTTGGGCTTGGAGCTAGGATTTTTCTGAGTGCAATGAACCAACTCCCGAGTCTCTAGGACGTTCCTAAAAAAATTTGATTTTTTCCCATAGGAATGCATGGGTTAGGGTTAGGGTTAGGGTTGGAGCTAGGGTTAGGGTTAGGGTTAGGGTTGGAGTTAGGGTTAGTGTTGGAGCTAGGGTTAGGGTTGGGCTTGGAGCTAGGATTTGTCTGAGTGCACTGAACCAACTCCCGAGTCTCTAGGACATTCCTAAAAAAATTTGATTTTTTCCCATAGGAATGCATGGGTTAGGGTTATGGTTAGGGTTAGGGTTGGAGCTAGGGTTAGGGTTAGGGTTAGGGTTGGAGTTAGGGTTAGTGTTGGAGCTAGGGTTAGGGTTGGGCTTGGAGCTAGGATTTTTCTGAGTGCACTGAACCAACTCCCGAGTCTCTAGGACGTTCCTAAAAAAATTTGATTTTTTCCCATAGGAATGCATGGGTTAGGGTTAGGGTTAGGGTTGGAGCTAGGGTTAGGGTTAGGGTTAGGGTTGGAGTTAGGGTTAGTGTTGGAGCTAGGGTTAGGGTTGGGCTTGGAGCTAGGATTTTTCTGAGTGCACTGAACCAACTCCCGAGTCTCTAGGACATTCCTAAAAAAATTTGATTTTTTCCCATAGGAATGCATGGGTTAGGGTTATGGGTTAGGGTTAGGGTTGGAGCTAGGGTTAGGGTTAGGGTTAGGGTTGGAGTTAGGGTTAGTGTTGGAGCTAGGGTTAGGGTTGGGCTTGGAGCTAGGATTTTTCTGAGTGCACTGAACCAACTCCCGAGTCTCTAGGACATTCCTAAAAAAATTTGATTTTTTCCCATAGGAATGCATGGGTTAGGGTTAGGGTTAGGGTTGGAGCTAGGGTTAGGGTTAGGGTTAGGGTTGGAGTTAGGGTTAGTGTTGGAGCTAGGGTTAGGGTTGGGCTTGGAGCTAGGATTTTTCTGAGTGCACTGAACCAACTCCCGAGTCTCTAGGACATTCCTAAAAAAATTTGATTTTTTCCCATAGGAATGCATGGGTTAGGGTTAGGGTTAGGGTTGGAGCTAGGGTTAGGGTTAGGGTTAGGGTTGGAGTTAGGGTTAGTGTTGGAGCTAGGGTTAGGGTTGGGCTTGGAGCTAGGATTTTTCTGAGTGCACTGAACCAACTCCCGAGTCTCTAGGACATTCCTAAAAAAATTTGATTTTTTCCCATAGGAATGCATGGGTTAGGGTTATGGTTAGGGTTAGGGTTGGAGCTAGGGTTAGGGTTAGGGTTAGGGTTGGAGTTAGGGTTAGTGTTGGAGCTAGGGTTAGGGTTGGGCTTGGAGCTAGGATTTTTCTGAGTGCACTGAACCAACTCCCGAGTCTCTAGGACATTCCTAAAAAAATTTGATTTTTTCCCATAGGAATGCATGGGTTAGGGTTATGGTTAGGGTTAGGGTTGGAGCTAGGGTTAGGGTTAGGGTTAGGGTTGGAGTTAGGGTTAGTGTTGGAGCTAGGGTTAGGGTTGGGCTTGGAGCTAGGATTTTTCTGAGTGCACTGAACCAACTCCCGAGTCTCTAGGACATTCCTAAAAAAATTTGATTTTTTCCCATAGGAATGCATGGGTTAGGGTTATGGTTAGGGTTAGGGTTGGAGCTAGGGTTAGGGTTAGGGTTAGGGTTGGAGTTAGGGTTAGTGTTGGAGCTAGGGTTAGGGTTGGGCTTGGAGCTAGGATTTTTCTGAGTGCACTGAACCAACTCCCGAGTCTCTAGGACATTCCTAAAAAAATTTGATTTTTTCCCATAGGAATGCATGGGTTAGGGTTATGGTTAGGGTTAGGGTTGGAGCTAGGGTTAGGGTTAGGGTTAGGGTTGGAGTTAGGGTTAGTGTTGGAGCTAGGGTTAGGGTTGGGCTTGGAGCTAGGATTTTTCTGAGTGCACTGAACCAACTCCCGAGTCTCTAGGACATTCCTAAAAAAATTTGATTTTTTCCCATAGGAATGCATGGGTTAGGGTTAGGGGGTTAGGGTTGGAGCTAGGGTTAGGGTTAGGGTTAGGGTTGGAGTTAGGGTTAGTGTTGGAGCTAGGGTTAGGGTTGGGCTTGGAGCTAGGATTTTTCTGAGTGCACTGAACCAACTCCCGAGTCTCTAGGACATTCCTAAAAAAATTTGATTTTTTCCCATAGGAATGCATGGGTTAGGGTTATGGTTAGGGTTAGGGTTGGAGCTAGGGTTAGGGTTAGGGTTAGGGTTGGAGTTAGGGTTAGTGTTGGAGCTAGGGTTAGGGTTGGGCTTGGAGCTAGGATTTTTCTGAGTGCACTGAACCAACTCCCGAGTCTCTAGGACATTCCTAAAAAAATTTGATTTTTTCCCATAGGAATGCATGGGTTAGGGTTATGGTTAGGGTTAGGGTTGGAGCTAGGGTTAGGGTTAGGGTTAGGGTTGGAGTTAGGGTTAGTGTTGGAGCTAGGGTTAGGGTTGGGCTTGGAGCTAGGATTTTTCTGAGTGCACTGAACCAACTCCCGAGTCTCTAGGACATTCCTAAAAAAATTTGATTTTTTCCCATAGGAATGCATGGGTTAGGGTTAGGTTAGGGTTAGGGTTGGAGCTAGGGTTAGGGTTAGGGTTAGGGTTGGAGTTAGGGTTAGTGTTGGAGCTAGGGTTAGGGTTGGGCTTGGAGCTAGGATTTTTCTGAGTGCACTGAACCAACTCCCGAGTCTCTAGGACATTCCTAAAAAAATTTGATTTTTTCCCATAGGAATGCATGGGTTAGGGTTATGGTTAGGGTTAGGGTTGGAGCTAGGGTTAGGGTTAGGGTTAGGGTTGGAGTTAGGGTTAGTGTTGGAGCTAGGGTTAGGGTTGGGCTTGGAGCTAGGATTTTTCTGAGTGCACTGAACCAACTCCCGAGTCTCTAGGACGTTCCTAAAAAAATTTGTTTTTTTCCCATAGGAATGCATGGGTTAGGGTTAGGGTTAGGGTTGGAGCTAGGGTTAGGGTTAGGGTTAGGGTTGGAGTTAGGGTTAGTGTTGGAGCTAGGGTTAGGGTTGGGCTTGGAGCTAGGATTTTTCTGAGTGCACTGAACCAACTCCCGAGTCTCTAGGACATTCCTAAAAAAATTTGATTTTTTCCCATAGGAATGCATGGGTTAGGGTTATGGTTAGGGTTAGGGTTGGAGCTAGGGTTAGGGTTAGGGTTAGGGTTGGAGTTAGGGTTAGTGTTGGAGCTAGGGTTAGGGTTGGGCTTGGAGCTAGGATTTTTCTGAGTGCACTGAACCAACTCCCGAGTCTCTAGGACATTCCTAAAAAAATTTGATTTTTTCCCATAGGAATGCATGGGTTAGGGTTATGGTTAGGGTTAGGGTTGGAGCTAGGGTTAGGGTTAGGGTTAGGGTTGGAGTTAGGGTTAGTGTTGGAGCTAGGGTTAGGGTTGGGCTTGGAGCTAGGATTTTTCTGAGTGCACTGAACCAACTCCCGAGTCTCTAGGACATTCCTAAAAAAATTTGATTTTTTCCCATAGGAATGCATGGGTTAGGGTTATGGTTAGGGTTAGGGTTGGAGCTAGGGTTAGGGTTAGGGTTAGGGTTGGAGTTAGGGTTAGTGTTGGAGCTAGGGTTAGGGTTGGGCTTGGAGCTAGGATTTTTCTGAGTGCACTGAACCAACTCCCGAGTCTCTAGGACATTCCTAAAAAAATTTGATTTTTTCCCATAGGAATGCATGGGTTAGGGTTATGGTTAGGGTTAGGGTTGGAGCTAGGGTTAGGGTTAGGGTTAGGGTTGGAGTTAGGGTTAGTGTTGGAGCTAGGGTTAGGGTTGGGCTTGGAGCTAGGATTTTTCTGAGTGCACTGAACCAACTCCCGAGTCTCTAGGACGTTCCTAAAAAAATTTGATTTTTTCCCATAGGAATGCATGGGTTAGGGTTAGGGTTAGGGTTGGAGCTAGGGTTAGGGTTAGGGTTAGGGTTGGAGTTAGGGTTAGTGTTGGAGCTAGGGTTAGGGTTGGGCTTGGAGCTAGGATTTTTCTGAGTGCACTGAACCAACTCCCGAGTCTCTAGGACATTCCTAAAAAAATTTGATTTTTTCCCATAGGAATGCATGGGTTAGGGTTAGGGTTAGGGTTGGAGCTAGGGTTAGGGTTAGGGTTAGGGTTGGAGTTAGGGTTAGTGTTGGAGCTAGGGTTAGGGTTGGGCTTGGAGCTAGGATTTTTCTGAGTGCACTGAACCAACTCCCGAGTCTCTAGGACATTCCTAAAAAAATTTGATTTTTTCCCATAGGAATGCATGGGTTAGGGTTATGGTTAGGGTTAGGGTTGGAGCTAGGGTTAGGGTTAGGGTTAGGGTTGGAGTTAGGGTTAGTGTTGGAGCTAGGGTTAGGGTTGGGCTTGGAGCTAGGATTTTTCTGAGTGCACTGAACCAACTCCCGAGTCTCTAGGACATTCCTAAAAAAATTTGATTTTTTCCCATAGGAATGCATGGGTTAGGGTTATGGTTAGGGTTAGGGTTGGAGCTAGGGTTAGGGTTAGGGTTAGGGTTGGAGTTAGGGTTAGTGTTGGAGCTAGGGTTAGGGTTGGGCTTGGAGCTAGGATTTTTCTGAGTGCACTGAACCAACTCCCGAGTCTCTAGGACATTCCTAAAAAAATTTGATTTTTTCCCATAGGAATGCATGGGTTAGGGTTAGGGTTAGGGTTAGGGTTGGAGCTAGGGTTAGGGTTAGGGTTAGGGTTGGAGTTAGGGTTAGTGTTGGAGCTAGGGTTAGGGTTGGGCTTGGAGCTAGGATTTTTCTGAGTGCACTGAACCAACTCCCGAGTCTCTAGGACATTCCTAAAAAAATTTGATTTTTTCCCATAGGAATGCATGGGTTAGGGTTAGGTTAGGGTTAGGGTTGGAGCTAGGGTTAGGGTTAGGGTTAGGGTTGGAGTTAGGGTTAGTGTTGGAGCTAGGGTTAGGGTTGGGCTTGGAGCTAGGATTTTTCTGAGTGCACTGAACCAACTCCCGAGTCTCTAGGACATTCCTAAAAAAATTTGATTTTTTCCCATAGGAATGCATGGGTTAGGGTTATGGTTAGGGTTAGGGTTGGAGCTAGGGTTAGGGTTAGGGTTAGGGTTGGAGTTAGGGTTAGTGTTGGAGCTAGGGTTAGGGTTGGGCTTGGAGCTAGGATTTTTCTGAGTGCACTGAACCAACTCCCGAGTCTCTAGGACATTCCTAAAAAAATTTGATTTTTTCCCATAGGAATGCATGGGTTAGGGTTAGGGGTTAGGGTTGGAGCTAGGGTTAGGGTTAGGGTTAGGGTTGGAGTTAGGGTTAGTGTTGGAGCTAGGGTTAGGGTTGGGCTTGGAGCTAGGATTTTTCTGAGTGCACTGAACCAACTCCCGAGTCTCTAGGACATTCCTAAAAAAATTTGATTTTTTCCCATAGGAATGCATGGGTTAGGGTTATGGTTAGGGTTAGGGTTGGAGCTAGGGTTAGGGTTAGGGTTAGGGTTGGAGTTAGGGTTAGTGTTGGAGCTAGGGTTAGGGTTGGGCTTGGAGCTAGGATTTTTCTGAGTGCACTGAACCAACTCCCGAGTCTCTAGGACATTCCTAAAAAAATTTGATTTTTTCCCATAGGAATGCATGGGTTAGGGTTATGGTTAGGGTTAGGGTTGGAGCTAGGGTTAGGGTTAGGGTTAGGGTTGGAGTTAGGGTTAGTGTTGGAGCTAGGGTTAGGGTTGGGCTTGGAGCTAGGATTTTTCTGAGTGCACTGAACCAACTCCCGAGTCTCTAGGACATTCCTAAAAAATTTGATTTTTTCCCATAGGAATGCATGGGTTAGGGTTATGGTTAGGGTTAGGGTTGGAGCTAGGGTTAGGGTTAGGGTTAGGGTTGGAGTTAGGGTTAGTGTTGGAGCTAGGGTTAGGGTTGGGCTTGGAGCTAGGATTTTTCTGAGTGCACTGAACCAACTCCCGAGTCTCTAGGACATTCCTAAAAAATTTGATTTTTTCCCATAGGAATGCATGGGTTAGGGTTATGGTTAGGGTTAGGGTTGGAGCTAGGGTTAGGGTTAGGGTTAGGGTTGGAGTTAGGGTTAGTGTTGGAGCTAGGGTTAGGGTTGGGCTTGGAGCTAGGATTTTTCTGAGTGCACTGAACCAACTCCCGAGTCTCTAGGACATTCCTAAAAAAATTTGATTTTTTCCCATAGGAATGCATGGGTTAGGGTTATGGTTAGGGTTAGGGTTGGAGCTAGGGTTAGGGTTAGGGTTAGGGTTGGAGTTAGGGTTAGTGTTGGAGCTAGGGTTAGGGTTGGGCTTGGAGCTAGGATTTTTCTGAGTGCACTGAACCAACTCCCGAGTCTCTAGGACATTCCTAAAAAAATTTGATTTTTTCCCATAGGAATGCATGGGTTAGGGTTAGGGTTAGGGTTAGGGTTGGAGCTAGGGTTAGGGTTAGGGTTAGGGTTGGAGTTAGGGTTAGTGTTGGAGCTAGGGTTAGGGTTGGGCTTGGAGCTAGGATTTTTCTGAGTGCACTGAACCAACTCCCGAGTCTCTAGGACATTCCTAAAAAAATTTGATTTTTTTCCCATAGGAATGCATGGGTTAGGGTTATGGTTAGGGTTAGGGTTGGAGCTAGGGTTAGGGTTAGGGTTAGGGTTGGAGTTAGGGTTAGTGTTGGAGCTAGGGTTAGGGTTGGGCTTGGAGCTAGGATTTTTCTGAGTGCACTGAACCAACTCCCGAGTCTCTAGGACATTCCTAAAAAAATTTGATTTTTTCCCATAGGAATGCATGGGTTAGGGTTATGGTTAGGGTTAGGGTTGGAGCTAGGGTTAGGGTTAGGGTTAGGGTTGGAGTTAGGGTTAGTGTTGGAGCTAGGGTTAGGGTTGGGCTTGGAGCTAGGATTTTTCTGAGTGCACTGAACCAACTCCCGAGTCTCTAGGACATTCCTAAAAAATTTGATTTTTTCCCATAGGAATGCATGGGTTAGGGTTAGGGTTAGGGTTGGAGCTAGGGTTAGGGTTAGGGTTAGGGTTGGAGTTAGGGTTAGTGTTGGAGCTAGGGTTAGGGTTGGGCTTGGAGCTAGGATTTTTCTGAGTGCACTGAACCAACTCCCGAGTCTCTAGGACATTCCTAAAAAATTTGATTTTTTCCCATAGGAATGCATGGGTTAGGGTTATGGTTAGGGTTAGGGTTGGAGCTAGGGTTAGGGTTAGGGTTAGGGTTGGAGTTAGGGTTAGTGTTGGAGCTAGGGTTAGGGTTGGGCTTGGAGCTAGGATTTTTCTGAGTGCACTGAACCAACTCCCGAGTCTCTAGGACATTCCTAAAAAAATTTGATTTTTTCCCATAGGAATGCATGGGTTAGGGTTATGGTTAGGGTTAGGGTTGGAGCTAGGGTTAGGGTTAGGGTTAGGGTTGGAGTTAGGGTTAGTGTTGGAGCTAGGGTTAGGGTTGGGCTTGGAGCTAGGATTTTTCTGAGTGCACTGAACCAACTCCCGAGTCTCTAGGACATTCCTAAAAAAATTTGATTTTTTCCCATAGGAATGCATGGGTTAGGGTTAGGTTAGGGTTAGGGTTGGAGCTAGGGTTAGGGTTAGGGTTAGGGTTGGAGTTAGGGTTAGTGTTGGAGCTAGGGTTAGGGTTGGGCTTGGAGCTAGGATTTTTCTGAGTGCACTGAACCAACTCCCGAGTCTCTAGGACATTCCTAAAAAAATTTGATTTTTTCCCATAGGAATGCATGGGTTAGGGTTATGGTTAGGGTTAGGGTTGGAGCTAGGGTTAGGGTTAGGGTTAGGGTTGGAGTTAGGGTTAGTGTTGGAGCTAGGGTTAGGGTTGGGCTTGGAGCTAGGATTTTTCTGAGTGCACTGAACCAACTCCCGAGTCTCTAGGACATTCCTAAAAAAATTTGATTTTTTCCCATAGGAATGCATGGGTTAGGGTTAGGGTTAGGGTTGGAGCTAGGGTTAGGGTTAGGGTTAGGGTTGGAGTTAGGGTTAGTGTTGGAGCTAGGGTTAGGGTTGGGCTTGGAGCTAGGATTTTTCTGAGTGCACTGAACCAACTCCCGAGTCTCTAGGACATTCCTAAAAAAATTTGATTTTTTCCCATAGGAATGCATGGGTTAGGGTTATGGTTAGGGTTAGGGTTGGAGCTAGGGTTAGGGTTAGGGTTAGGGTTGGAGTTAGGGTTAGTGTTGGAGCTAGGGTTAGGGTTGGGCTTGGAGCTAGGATTTTTCTGAGTGCACTGAACCAACTCCCGAGTCTCTAGGACATTCCTAAAAAATTTGATTTTTTCCCATAGGAATGCATGGGTTAGGGTTATGGTTAGGGTTAGGGTTGGAGCTAGGGTTAGGGTTAGGGTTAGGGTTGGAGTTAGGGTTAGTGTTGGAGCTAGGGTTAGGGTTGGGCTTGGAGCTAGGATTTTTCTGAGTGCACTGAACCAACTCCCGAGTCTCTAGGACATTCCTAAAAAAATTTGATTTTTTCCCATAGGAATGCTAGGGTTAGGGTTGGGCTTGGAGCTAGGATTTTTCTGAGTGCACTGAACCAACTCCCGAGTCTCTAGGACATTCCTAAAAAAATTGAGTTTTTCCCATAGGAATGCATGGGTTAGGGGGTTAGGGTTAGGGTTGGAGCTAGGGTTAGGGTTAGGGTTAGGGTTGGAGTTAGGGTTAGTGTTGGAGCTAGGGTTAGGGTTGGGCTTGGAGCTAGGATTTTTCTGAGTGCACTGAACCAACTCCCGAGTCTCTAGGACATTCCTAAAAAAATTTGATTTTTTCCCATAGGAATGCATGGGTTAGGGATTATAGTTAGGGTTAGGGTTGGAGCTAGGGTTAGGGTTAGGATTAGGGTTGGAGTTAGGGTTAGTGTTGGAGCTAGGGTTAGGGTTGGGCTTGGAGCTAGGATTTTTCTGAGTGCACTGAACCAACTCCCGAGTCTCTAGGACATTCCTAAAAAAATTTGATTTTTTCCCATAGGAATGCATGGGTTATGGTTAGGGTTAGGGTTGGAGCTAGGGTTAGGGTTAGGGTTAGGGTTGGAGTTAGGGTTAGTGTTGGAGCTAGGTTAGGGTTGGGCTTGGAGCTAGGATTTTTCTGAGTGCACTGAACCAACTCCCGAGTCTCTAGGACATTCCTAAAAAAAATTGATTTTTTCCCATAGGAATGCATGGGTTAGGGTTATGGTTAGGGTTAGGGTTGGAGCTAGGGTTAGGGTTAGGGTTAGGGTTGGAGTTAGGGTTAGTGTTGGAGCTAGGGTTAGGGTTGGGCTTGGAGCTAGGATTTTTCTGAGTGCACTGAACCAACTCCCGAGTCTCTAGGACATTCCTAAAAAAATTTGATTTTTTCCATAGGAATGCATGGGTTAGGGTTATGGTTAGGGTTAGGGTTGGAGCTAGGGTTAGGGTTAGGGTTAGGGTTGGAGTTAGGGTTAGTGTTGGAGCTAGGGTTAGGGTTGGGCTTGGAGCTAGGATTTTTCTGAGTGCACTGAACCAACTCCCGAGTCTCTAGGACGTTCCTAAAAAAATTTGATTTTTTCCCATAGGAATGCATGGGTTAGGGTTAGGGTTAGGGTTGGAGCTAGGGTTAGGGTTAGGGTTAGGGTTGGAGTTAGGGTTAGTGTTGGAGCTAGGGTTAGGGTTGGGCTTGGAGCTAGGATTTTTCTGAGTGCACTGAACCAACTGGAGTCTCTAGGACATTCCTAAAAAATTTGATTTTTTCCCATAGGAATGCATGGGTTAGGGTTATGGTTAGGGTTAGGGTTGGAGCTAGGGTTAGGGTTAGGGTTAGGGTTGGAGGGAGCTAGGGTTAGGGTTGGGCTTGGAGCTAGGATTTTTCTGAGTGCACTGAACCAACTCCCGAGTCTCTAGGACATTCCTAAAAAAATTTGATTTTTTCCCATAGAATGCATGGGTTAGGGTTATGGTTAGGGTTAGGGTTGGAGCTAGGGTTAGGGTTAGGGTTAGGGTTGGAGTTAGGGTTAGTGTTGGAGCTAGGGTTAGGGTTGGGCTTGGAGCTAGGATTTTTCTGAGTGCACTGAACCAACTCCCGAGTCTCTAGGACATTCCTAAAAAAATTTGATTTTTTTCCCATAGGAATGCATGGGTTAGGGTTATGGTTAGGGTTAGGGTTGGAGCTAGGGTTAGGGTTAGGGTTAGGGTTGGAGTTAGGGTTAGTGTTGGAGCTAGGGTTAGGGTTGGGCTTGGAGCTAGGATTTTTCTGAGTGCACTGAACCAACTCCCGAGTCTCTAGGACGTTCCTAAAAAAATTTGATTTTTTCCCATAGGAATGCATGGGTTAGGGTTAGGGTTAGGGTTGGAGCTAGGGTTAGGGTTAGGGTTAGGGTTGGAGTTAGGGTTAGTGTTGGAGCTAGGGTTAGGGTTGGGCTTGGAGCTAGGATTTTTCTGAGTGCACTGAACCAACTCCCGAGTCTCTAGGACATTCCTAAAAAAATTGAGTTTTTCCCATAGGAATGCATGGGTTAGTTAGGTTAGGGTTAGGGTTGGAGCTAGGGTTAGGGTTAGGGTTAGGGTTGGAGTTAGGGTTAGTGTTGGAGCTAGGGTTAGGGTTGGGCTTGGAGCTAGGATTTTTCTGAGTGCACTGAACCAACTCCCGAGTCTCTAGGACATTCCTAAAAAAATTTGATTTTTTCCCATAGGAATGCATGGGTTAGGGTTATGGTTAGGGTTAGGGTTGGAGCTAGGGTTAGGGTTAGGGTTAGGGTTGGAGTTAGGGTTAGTGTTGGAGCTAGGGTTAGGGTTGGGCTTGGAGCTAGGATTTTTCTGAGTGCACTGAACCAACTCCCGAGTCTCTAGGACATTCCTAAAAAAATTTGATTTTTTCCCATAGGAATGCATGGGTTAGGGTTATGGTTAGGGTTAGGGTTGGAGCTAGGGTTAGGGTTAGGGTTAGGGTTGGAGTTAGGGTTAGTGTTGGAGCTAGGGTTAGGGTTGGGCTTGGAGCTAGGATTTTTCTGAGTGCACTGAACCAACTCCCGAGTCTCTAGGACATTCCTAAAAAAATTTGATTTTTTCCCATAGGAATGCATGGGTTAGGGTTATGGTTAGGGTTAGGGTTGGAGCTAGGGTTAGGGTTAGGGTTAGGGTTGGAGTTAGGGTTAGTGTTGGAGCTAGGGTTAGGGTTGGGCTTGGAGCTAGGATTTTTCTGAGTGCACTGAACCAACTCCCGAGTCTCTAGGACATTCCTAAAAAAATTTGATTTTTTCCCATAGGAATGCATGGGTTAGGGTTATGGTTAGGGTTAGGGTTGGAGCTAGGGTTAGGGTTAGGGTTAGGGTTGGAGTTAGGGTTAGTGTTGGAGCTAGGGTTAGGGTTGGCCTTGGAGCTAGGATTTTTCTGAGTGCACTGAACCAACTCCCGAGTCTCTAGGACGTTCCTAAAAAAATTTGATTTTTTCCCATAGGAATGCATGGGTTAGGGTTAGGGTTAGGGTTGGAGCTAGGGTTAGGGTTAGGGTTAGGGTTGGAGTTAGGGTTAGTGTTGGAGCTAGGGTTAGGGTTGGGCTTGGAGCTAGGATTTTTCTGAGTGCACTGAACCAACTCCCGAGTCTCTAGGACATTCCTAAAAAAATTTGATTTTTTCCCATAGGAATGCATGGGTTAGGGTTAGGGTTAGGGTTGGAGCTAGGGTTAGGGTTAGGGTTAGGGTTGGAGTTAGGGTTAGTGTTGGAGCTAGGGTTAGGGTTGGGCTTGGAGCTAGGATTTTTCTGAGTGCACTGAACCAACTCCCGAGTCTCTAGGACATTCCTAAAAAAATTTGATTTTTTCCCATAGGAATGCATGGGTTAGGGTTATGGTTAGGGTTAGGGTTGGAGCTAGGGTTAGGGTTAGGGTTAGGGTTGGAGTTAGGGTTAGTGTTGGAGCTAGGGTTAGGGTTGGGCTTGGAGCTAGGATTTTTCTGAGTGCACTGAACCAACTCCCGAGTCTCTAGGACATTCCTAAAAAAATTTGATTTTTTCCCATAGGAATGCATGGGTTAGGGTTATGGTTAGGGTTAGGGTTGGAGCTAGGGTTAGGGTTAGGGTTAGGGTTGGAGTTAGGGTTAGTGTTGGAGCTAGGGTTAGGGTTGGGCTTGGAGCTAGGATTTTTCTGAGTGCACTGAACCAACTCCCGAGTCTCTAGGACATTCCTAAAAAAATTTGATTTTTTCCCATAGGAATGCATGGGTTAGGGTTATGGTTAGGGTTAGGGTTGGAGCTAGGTTTAGGGTTAGGATTAGGGTTGGAGTTAGGGTTAGTGTTGGAGCTAGGGTTAGGGTTGGGCTTGGAGCTAGGATTTTTCTGAGTGCACTGAACCAACTCCCGAGTCTCTAGGACATTCCTAAAAAAATTTGATTTTTTCCCATAGGAATGCATGGGTTAGGGTTATGGTTAGGGTTAGGGTTGGAGCTAGGGTTAGGGTTAGGGTTAGGGTTGGAGTTAGGGTTAGTGTTGGAGCTAGGGTTAGGGTTGGGCTTGGAGCTAGGATTTTTCTGAGTGCACTGAACCAACTCCCGAGTCTCTAGGACGTTCCTAAAAATATTTGATTTTTTCCCATAGGAATGCATGGGTTAGGGTTAGGGTTAGGGTTGGAGCAAGGGTTAGGGTTAGGGTTAGGGTTGGAGTTAGGGTTAGTGTTGGAGCTAGGCTTAGGGTTGGGCTTGGAGCTAGGATTTTTCTGAGTGCACTGAACCAACTCCCGAGTCTCTAGGACATTCCTAAAAAAATTTGATTTTTTCCCATAGGAATGCATGGGTTAGGGTTAGGGTTAGGGTTGGAGCTAGGGTTAGGGTTAGGGTTAGGGTTGGAGTTAGGGTTAGTGTTGGAGCTAGGGTTAGGGTTGGGCTTGGAGCTAGGATTTTTCTGAGTGCACTGAACCAACTCCCGAGTCTCTAGGACATTCCTAAAAAAAATTGATTTTTTCCCAAAGGAATGCATGGGTTAGGGTTATGGTTAGGGTTAGGGTTGGAGCTAGGGTTAGGGTTAGGGTTAGGGTTGGAGTTAGGGTTAGTGTTGGAGCTAGGGTTAGGGTTGGGCTTGGAGCTAGGATTTTTCTGAGTGCACTGAACCAACTCCCGAGTCTCTAGGACATTCCTAAAAAAATTTGATTTTTTCCCATAGGAATGCATGGGTTAGGGTTATGGTTAGGGTAAGGGTTGGAGCTAGGGTTAGGGTTAGGGTTAGGGTTGGAGTTAGGGTTAGTGTTGGAGCTAGGGTTAGGGTTGGGCTTGGAGCTAGGATTTTTCTGAGTGCACTGAACCAACTCCCGAGTCTCTAGGACATTCCTAAAAAAATTTGATTTTTTCCCATAGGAATGCATGGGTTAGGGTTATGGTTAGGGTTAGGGTTGGAGCTAGGGTTAGGGTTAGGGTTAGGGTTGGAGTTAGGGTTAGTGTTGGAGCTAGGGTTAGGGTTGGGCTTGGAGCTAGGATTTTTCTGAGTGCACTGAACCAACTCCCGAGTCTCTAGGACATTCCTAAAAAAAATTGAATTTTTCCCATAGGAATGCATGGGTTAGGGTTAGGGTTGGAGCTAGGGTTAGGGTTAGGGTTAGGGTTGGAGTTAGGGTTAGTGTTGGAGCTAGGGTTAGGGTTGGGCTTGGAGCTAGGATTTTTCTGAGTGCACTGAACCAACTCCCGAGTCTCTAGGACATTCCTAAAAAAATTTGATTTTTTCCCATAGGAATGCATGGGTTAGGGTTATGGTTAGGGTTAGGGTTGGAGCTAGGGTTAGGGTTAGGGTTAGGGTTGGAGTTAGGGTTAGTGTTGGAGCTAGGGTTAGGGTTGGGCTTGGAGCTAGGATTTTTCTGAGTGCACTGAACCAACTCCCGAGTCTCTAGGACATTCCTAAAAAAATTTGATTTTTTCCCATAGGAATGCATGGGTTAGGGTTATGGTTAGGGTTAGGGTTGGAGCTAGGGTTAGGGTTAGGGTTAGGGTTGGAGTTAGGGTTAGTGTTGGAGCTAGGGTTAGGGTTGGGCTTGGAGCTAGGATTTTTCTGAGTGCACTGAACCAACTCCCGAGTCTCTAGGACATTCCTAAAAAAATTTGATTTTTTCCCATAGGAATGCATGGGTTAGGGTTATGGTTAGGGTTAGGGTTGGAGCTAGGGTTAGGGTTAGGGTTAGGGTTAGGGTTGGAGTTAGGGTTAGTGTTGGAGCTAGGGTTAGGGTTGGGCTTGGAGCTAGGATTTTTCTGAGTGCAATGAACCAACTCCCGAGTCTCTAGGACGTTCCTAAAAAAATTTGATTTTTTCCCATAGGAATGCATGGGTTAGGGTTAGGGTTAGGGTTAGAGCTAGGGTTAGGGTTAGGGTTAGGGTTGGAGTTAGGGTTAGTGTTGGAGCAAGGGTTAGGGTTGGGCTTGGAGCTAGGATTTTTCTGAGTGCAATGAACCAACTCCCGAGTCTCTAGGATGTTCCTAAAAAAATTTGATTTTTTCCCATAGGAATGCATGGGTTAGGGTTAGGGTTAGGGTTGGAGCTAGGGTTAGGGTTAAGGTTAGGGTTGGAATTAGGGTTAGTGTTTGAGCTAGGGTTAGGGTTGGGCTTGGAGCTAGGATTTTTCTGAGTGCACTGAACCAACTCCCGAGTCTCTAGGACGTTCCTAAAAAAATTGATTTTTTCCCATAGGAATGCATGGGTTAGGGTTAGGGTTAGGGTTGGAGCTAGGGTTAGGGTTAAGGTTAGGGTTGGAGTTAGGGTTAGTGTTGGAGCTAGGGTTAGGGTTGGGCTTGGAGCTAGGATTTTTCTGAGTGCACTGAACCAACTCCCGAGTCTCTAGGGCATTCCTAAAAAAATTTGATTTTTTCCCATAGGAATGCATGGTTTAGGGTTATGGTTAGGGTTAGGGTTGGAGCTAGGGTTAGGGTTAGGGTTAGGGTTAGGGTTGGAGTTAGGGTTAGTGTTGGAGCTAGGGTTAGGGTTGGGCTTGGAGCTAGGACTTTTCTGAGTGCAATGAACCAACTCCCGAGTCTCTAGGACGTTCCCTAAAAAATTTGATTTTTTCCCATAGGAATGCATGGGTTAGGGTTAGGGTTAGGGTTGGAGCTAGGGTTAGGGTTAGGGTTAGGGTTGGAGTTAGGGTTAGTGTTGGAGCTAGGGTTAGGGTTGGGCTTGGAGCTAGGATTTTTCTGAGTGCAATGAACCAACTCCCGAGTCTCTAGGACATTCCTAAAAAAATTTGATTTTTTCCCATAGGAATGCATGGGTTAGGGTTATGGTTAGGGTTAGGGTTGGAGCTAGGGTTAGGGTTAGGGTTAGGGTTGGAGTTAGGGTTAGTGTTGGAGCTAGGGTTAGGGTTGGGCTTGGAGCTAGGATTTTTCTGAGTGCACTGAACCAACTCCCGAGTCTCTAGGACATTCCTAAAAAAAATTTGATTTTTTCCCATAGGAATGCATGGGTTAGGGTTAGGGTTAGGGTTGGAGCTAGGGTTAGGGTTAGGGTTAGGGTTGGAGTTAGGGTTAGTGTTGGAGCTAGGGTTAGGGTTGGGCTTGGAGCTAGGATTTTTCTGAGTGCAATGAACCAACTCCCGAGTCTCTTGGACGTTCCTAAAAAAATTTGATTTTTTCCCATAGGAATGCATGGGTTACGGTTAGGGTTAGGGTTGGAGCTAGGGTTAGGGTTAGGGTTAGGGTTGGAGTTAGGGTTAGTGTTGGAGCTAGGGTTAGGGTTGGGCTTGGAGCTAGGATTTTTCTGAGTGCAATGAACCAACTCCCGAGTCTCTAGGATGTTCCTAAAAAAATTTGATTTTTTCCCATAGGAATGCATGGGTTAGGGTTAGGGTTAGGGTTGGAGCTAGGGTTAGGGTTAAGGTTAGGGTTGGAGTTAGGGTTAGTGTTGGAGCTAGGGTTAGGGTTGGGCTTGGAGCTAGGATTTTTCTGAGTGCACTGAACCAACTCCCGAGTCTCTAGGACGTTCCCTAAAAAAATTTGATTTTTTCCCATAGGAATGCATGGGTTAGGGTTAGGGTTAGGGTTGGAGCTAGGGTTAGGGTTAGGGTTAGGGTTGGAGTTAGGGTTAGTGTTGGAGCTAGGGTTAGGGTTGGGCTTGGAACTAGGATTTTTCTGAGTGCACTGAACCAACTCCCGAGTCTCTAGGACATTCCTAAAAAAATTGATTTTTTCCCATAGGAATGCATGGGTTAGGGTTATGGTTAGGGTTAGGGTTGGAGCTAGGGTTAGGGTTAGGGTTAGGGTTGGAGTTAGGGTTAGTGTTGGAGCTAGGGTTAGGGTTGGGCTTGGAGCTAGGACTTTTCTGAGTGCAATGAACCAACTCCCGAGTCTCTAGGACGTTCCCTAAAAAAATTGATTTTTTCCCATAGGAATGCATGGGTTAGGGTTAGGGTTAGGGTTGGAGCTAGGGTTAGGGTTAGGGTTAGGGTTGGAGTTAGGGTTAGTGTTGGAGCTAGGGTTAGGGTTGGGCTTGGAGCTAGGATTTTTCTGAGTGCAATGAACCAACTCCCGAGTCTCTTGGACGTTCCTAAAAAAATTTGATTTTTTCCCATAGGAATGCATGGGTTAGGATTAGGGTGAGGGTTGGAGCTAGGGTTAGGGTTAGGGTTAGGGTTGGAGTTAGGGTTAGTGTTGGAGCTAGGGTTAGGGTTGGCCTTGGAGCTAGGATTTTTCTGAGTGCAATGAACCAACTCCCGAGTCTCTAGGACGTTCCTAAAAAAATTTGATTTTTTCCCATAGGAATGCATGGGTTAGGGTTAGGGTTAGGGTTGGAGCTAGGGTTAGGGTTAGGGTTAGGGTTAGGGTTGGAGTTAGGGTTAGTGTTGGAGCTAGGGTTAGGGTTGGGCTTGGAGCTAGGATTTTTCTGAGTGCAATGAACCAACTCCCGAGTCTCTAGGACGTTCCTAAAAAAATTTGATTTTTTCCCATAGGAATGCATGGGTTAGGGTTAGGGTTAGGGTTGGAGCTAGGGTTAGGGTTAGGGTTAGGGTTGGAGTTAGGGTTAGTGTTGGAGCTAGGGTTAGGGTTGGGCTTGGAGCTAGGATTTTTCTGAGTGCAATGAACCAACTCCCGAGTCTCTAGGATGTTCCTAAAAAAATTTGATTTTTTCCCATAGGAATGCATGGGTTAGGGTTAGGGTTAGGGTTGGAGCTAGGGTTAGGGTTAGGGTTAGGGTTAGGGTTGGAATTAGGGTTAGTGTTGGAGCTAGGGTTAGGGTTGGGCTTGGAGCTAGGATTTTTCTGAGTGCACTGAACCAACTCCCGAGTCTCTAGGACGTTCCTCAAAAAATTTGATTTTTTCCCATAGGAATGCATGGGTTAGGGTTAGGGTTAGGGTTGGAGCTAGGGTTAGGGTTAAGTTTAGGGTTGGAGTTAGGGTTAGTGTTGGAGCTAGGGTTAGGGTTGGGCTTGGAGCTAGGATTTTTCTGAGTGCACTGAACCAACTCCCGAGTCTCTAGGACATTCCTAAAAAAATTGATTTTTTCCCATAGGAATGCATGGGTTAGGGTTATGGTTAGGGTTAGGGTTGGAGCTAGGGTTAGGGTTAGGGTTAGGGTTGGAGTTAGGGTTAGTGTTGGAGCTAGGGTTAGGGTTGGGCTTGGAGCTAGGATTTTTCTGAGTGCAATGAACCAACTCCCGAGTCTCTAGGACGTTCCCTAAAAAAATTGATTTTTTCCCATAGGAATGCATGGGTTAGGGTTAGGGTTAGGGTTGGAGCTAGGGTTAGGGTTAGGGTTAGGGTTGGAGTTAGGGTTAGTGTTGGAGCTAGGGTTAGGGTTGGGCTTGGAGCTAGGATTTTTCTGAGTGCAATGAACCAACTCCCGAGTCTCTTGGACGTTCCTAAAAAAATTTGATTTTTTCCCATAGGAATGCATGGGTTAGGATTAGGGTGAGGGTTGGAGCTAGGGTTAGGGTTAGGGTTAGGGTTGGAGTTAGGGTTAGTGTTGGAGCTAGGGTTAGGGTTGGCCTTGGAGCTAGGATTTTTCTGAGTGCAATGAACCAACTCCCGAGTCTCTAGGACGTTCCTAAAAAAAATTGATTTTTTCCCATAGGAATGCATGGGTTAGGGTTAGGGTTAGGGTTGGAGCTAGGGTTAGGGTTAGGGTTAGGGTTAGTGTTGGAGTTAGGGTTAGTGTTGGAGCTAGGGTTAGGGTTGGGCTTGGAGCTAGGATTTTTCTGAGTGCAATGAACCAACTCCGAGTCTCTAGGACATTCCTAAAAAAATTTGATTTTTTTCCCATAGGAATGCATGGGTTAGGGTTAGGGTTAGGGTTGGAGCTAGGGTTAGGGTTAGGGTTAGGGTTGGAGTTAGGGTTAGTGTTGGAGCTAGGGTTAGGGTTAGGCTTTGAGCTAGGATTTTTCTGAGTGCACTGAACCAACTCCCGAGTCTCTAGGACGTTCCTAAAAAAATTTGATTTTTTCCCATAGGAATGCATGGGTTAGGGTTAGGGTAAGGGTTGGAGCTAGGGTTAGGGTTAGGGTTAGGGTTGGAGTTAGGGTTAGTGTTGGAGCTAGGGTTAGGGTTGGGCTTGGTGCTAGGATTTTTCTGAGTAAAATGAACCAACTCCCGAGTCTCTTGGACGTTCCTAAAAAAATTTGATTTTTTCCCATAGGAATGCATGGGTTAAGGTTAGGGTTAGGGTTGGAGCTAGGGTTAGGGTTAGGGTTAGGGTTGGAGTTAGGGTTAGTGTTGGAGCAAAGGTTAGGGTTGGGCTTGGAGCTAGGATTTTTCTGAGTGCACTGAACCAACTCCCGAGTCTCTAGGACGTTCCTAAAAAAATTTGATTTTTTCCCATAGGAATGCATAGGTTAGGGTTAGGGTTAGGGTTGGAGCTAGGGTTAGGGTTAAGGTTAGGGTTGGAGTTAGGGTTAGTGTTGGAGCTAGGGTTAGGGTTGGGCTTGGAGCTAGGATTTTTCTGAGTGCACTGAACCAACTCCCGAGTCTCTAGGACATTCCTAAAAAAATTTGATTTTTTCCCATAGGAATGCATGGTTTAGGGTTATGGTTAGGGTTAGGGTTGGAGCTAGGGTTAGGGTTAGGGTTAGGGTTGGAGTTAGGGTTAGTGTTGGAGCTAGGGTTAGGGTTGGGCTTGGAGCTAGGATTTTTCTGAGTGCACTGAACCAACTCCCGAGTCTCTAGGACATTCCTAAAAAAATTTGATTTTTTCCCATAGGAATGCATGGGTTAGGGTTAGGGTTAGGGTTAGGGTTGGAGCTAGGGTTAGGGTTAGGGTTAGGGTTGTAGTTAGGGTTAGTGTTGGAGCTAGGGTTAGGGTTGGGCATGGAGCTAGGATTTTTCTGAGTGCAATGAACCAACTCCCGAGTCTCTTGGACGTTCCTAAAAAAATTTAATTTTTTCCCATAGGAATGCATGGGTTAGGGTTAGGGTTAGGGTTGGAGCTAGGGTTAGGGTTAGGGTTAGGGTTGGAGTAAGGGTTAGTGTTGGAGCTAGGGTTAGGGTTGGACTTGGAGCTAGGATTTTTCTGAGTGCACTGAACCAACTCCCGAGTCTCTAGGACATTCCTAAAAAAATTTGATTTTTTCCCATAGGAATGCATGGGTTAGGGTTATGGTTAGGGTTAGGGTTGGAGCTAGGGTTAGGGTTAGGGTTAGGGTTGGAGTTAGGGTTAGTGTTGGAGCTAGGGTTAGGGTTGGGCTTGGAGCTAGGATTTTTCTGAATGCAATGAACCAACTCCCGAGTCTCTAGGACGTTCCCTAAAAAAAATTGATTTTTTCCCATAGGAATGCATGGGTTAGGGTTAGGGTTAGGGTTGGAGCTAGGGTTAGGGTTAGGGTTAGGGTTAGGGTTGGAGTTAGGGTTAGTGTTGGAGCTAGGGTTAGGCTTGGGCTTGGAGCTAGGATTTTTCTGAGTACAATGAACCAACTCCCGAGTCTCTTGGACGTTCCTAAAAAAATTTGATTTTTTCCCATAGGAATGCATGGGTTAGGGTTAGGGTTAGGGTTGGAGCTAGGGTTAGGGTTAGGGTTAGGGTTGGAGTTAGGGTTAGTGTTGGAGCTAGGGTTAGGGTTGGGCTTGGAGCTAGGATTTTTCTGAGTGCAATGAACCAACTCCCGAGTCTCTAGGACGTTCCTAATAAAATTTGATTTTTTCCCATAGGAATGCATGGGTTAGGGTTAGGGTAAGTGTTGGAGCTAGGGTTTGGGTTAAGGTTAGGGTTGGAGTTAGGGTTAGTGTTGGAGCTAGGGTTAGGGTTGGGCTTGGAGCTAGGATTTTTCTGAGTGCACTGAACCAACTCCCGAGTCTCTAGGACATTCCTAAAAAAATTTGATTTTTTCCCATAGGAATGCATGGTTTAGGGTTATGGTTAGGGTTAGGGTTGGAGCTAGGGTTAGGGTTAGGGTTAGGGTTGGAGTTAGGGTTAGTGTTGGAGCTAGGGTTAGGGTTGGGCTTGGAGCTAGGATTTTTCTGAGTGCACTGAACCAACTCCCGAGTCTCTAGGACATTCCTAAAAAAATTTGATTTTTTCCCATAGGAATGCATGGGTTAGGGTTATGGTTAGGGTTAGGGTTGGAGCTAGGGTAAGGGTTAGGGTTAGGGTTGGAGTTAGGGTTAGTGTTGGAGCTAGGTTTAGGGTTGGGCTTGGAGCTAGGATTTTTCTGAGTGCAATGAACCAACTCCCGAGTCTCTTGGATGTTCCTAAAAAAATTTGATTTTTTCCCATAGGAATGCATGGGTTAGGGTTAGGGTTAGGGTTGGAGCTAGGGTTAGGGTTAGGGTTAGGGTTGGAGTAAGGGTTAGTGTTGGAGCTAGGGTTAGGGTTGGGCTTGGAGCTAGGATTTTTCTGAGTGCACTGAACCAACTCCCGAGTCTCTAGGACATTCCTAAAAAAATTTGATTTTTTCCCATAGGAATGCATGGGTTAGGGTTATGGTTAGGGTTAGGGTTGGAGCTAGGGTTAGGGTTAGGGTTAGGGTTGGAGTTAGGGTTAGTGTTGGAGCTAGGGTTAGGGTTGGGCTTGGAGCTAGGATTTTTCTGAGTGCAATGAACCAACTCCCGAGTCTCTAGGACGTTCCCTAAAAAAATTTGATTTTTTCCCATAGGAATGCATGGGTTAGGGTTAGGGTTAGGGTTGGAGCTAGGGTTAGGGTTAGGGTTAGGGTTGGAGTTAGGGTTAGTGTTGGAGCTAGGGTTAGGCTTGGGCTTGGAGCTAGGATTTTTCTGAGTACAATGAACCAACTCCCGAGTCTCTTGGACGTTCCTAAAAAAATTTGATTTTTTCCCATAGGAATGCATGGGTTAGGGTTAGGGTTAGGGTTGGAGCTAGGGTTAGGGTTAGGGTTAGGGTTGGAGTTAGGGTTAGTGTTGGAGCTAGGGTTAGGGTTGGGCTTGGAGCTAGGATTTTTCTGAGTGCAATGAACCAACTCCCGAGTCTCTAGGACGTTCCTAATAAAATTTGATTTTTTCCCATAGGAATGCATGGGTTAGGGTTAGGGTAAGGGTTGGAGCTAGGGTTTGGGTTAAGGTTAGGGTTGGAGTTAGGGTTAGTGTTGGAGCTAGGGTTAGGGTTGGGCTTGGAGCTAGGATTTTTCTGAGTGCACTGAACCAACTCCCGAGTCTCTAGGACATTCCTAAAAAAATTTGATTTTTTCCCATAGGAATGCATGGGTTTGGGTTAGGGTTAGGGTTGGAGCTAGGGTTAGGGTTAGGGTTAGGGTTGGAGTTAGGGTTAGTGTTGGAGCTAGGGTTAGGGTTGGGCTTGGAGCTAGGATTTTTCTGAGTGCAATGAACCAACTCCCGAGTCTCTTGGACGTTCCTAAAAAATTTTGATTTTTTCCCATAGGAATGCATGGGTTAGGGTTAGGGTTAGGGTTGGAGCTAGGGTTAGGGTTAGGGTTAGGGTTGGAGTTAGGGTTAGTGTTGGAGCTAGGGTTAGGATTGGGCTTGGAGCTAGGATTTTTCTGAGTGCAATGAACCAACTCCCGAGTCTCTAGGACGTTCCTAATAAAATTTGATTTTTTCCCATAGGAATGCATGGGTTAGGGTTAGGGTAAGGGTTGGAGCTAGGGTTAGGGTTAAGGTTAGGGTTGGAGTTAGGGTTAGTGTTGGAGCTAGGGTTAGGGTTGGGCTTGGAGCTAGGATTTTTCTGAGTGCACTGAACCAACTCCCGAGTCTCTAGGACATTCCTAAAAAAATTTGATTTTTTCCCATAGGAATGCATGGTTTAGGGTTATGGTCAGGGTTAGGGTTGGAGCTAGGGTTAGGGTTAGGGTTAGGGTTGGAGTTAGGGTTAGTGTTGGAGCTAGGGTTAGGGTTGGGCTTGGAGCTAGGATTTTTCTGAGTGGAATGAACCAACTCCCGAGTCTCTAGGACGTTCCTAAAAAAATTTGATTTTTTCCCATAGGAATGCATGGGTTAGGGTTAGGGTTAGGGTTGGAGCTAGGGTTAGGGTTAGGGTTAGGGTTGGAGTTAGGGTTAGTGTTGGAGCTAGGGTTAGGGTTGGGCTTGGAGCTAGGATTTTTCTGAGTGCACTGAACCAACTCCCGAGTCTCTAGGACATTCCTAAAAAAATTGATTTTTTTTCCCATAGGAATGCATGGGTTAGGGTTATGGTTAGGTTTAGGGTTGGAGCTAGGGTTAGGGTAAGGGTTAGGGTTGGAGTTAGGGTTAGTGTTGGAGCTAGGGTTAGGGTTGGGCTTGGAGCTAGGATTTTTCTGAGTGCAATGAACCAACTCCCGAGTCTCTAGGACGTTCCTAAAAAAATTTGATTTTTTCCCATAGGAATGCATGGGTTAGGGTTAGGGTTAGGGTTGGAGCTAGGGTTAGGGTTAGGGTTAGGGTTGGAGTTAGGGTTAGTGTTGGAGCTAGGGTTAGGGTTGGGCTTGGAGCTAGGATTTTTCTGAGTGCAATGAACCAACTCCCGAGTCTCTAGGACGTTCCTAAAAAAAATTGATTTTTTCCCATAGGAATGCATGGGTTAGGGTTAGGGTTAGGGTTGGAGCTAGGGTTAGGGTTAGGGTTAGGGTTGGAGTTAGGGTTAGTGTTGGAGCTAGGGTTAGGGTTGGGCTTGGAGCTAGGACTTTTCTGAGTGCAATGAACCAACTCCCGATTCTCTAGGACATTCCTAAAAAAATTTGATTTTTTCCCATAGGAATGCATGGGTTAGGGTTATGGGTTAGGGTTAGGGTTGGAGCTAGGGTTAGGGTTAGGGTTAGGGTTGGAGTTAGGGTTAGTGTTGGAGCTAGGGTTAGGGTTGGGCTTGGAGCTAGGATTTTTCTGAGTGCACTGAACCAACTCCCGAGTCTCTAGGACATTCCTAAAAAAATTTGATTTTTTCCCATAGGAATGCATGGGTTAGGGTTAGGGTTAGGGTTAGGGTTGGAGCTAGGGTTAGGGTTAGGGTTAGGGTTGGAGTTAGGGTTAGTGTTGGAGCTAGGGTTAGGGTTGGGCTTGGAGCTAGGATTTTTCTGAGTGCACTGAACCAACTCCCGAGTCTCTAGGACATTCCTAAAAAAATTTGATTTTTTCCCATAGGAATGCATGGTTTAGGGTTATGGTTAGGGTTAGGGTTGCAGCTAGGGTTAGGGTTAGGGTTAGGGTTGGAGTTAGGGTTAGTGTTGGAGCTAGGGTTAGGGTTGGGCTTGGAGCTAGGATTTTTCTGAGTGCAATGAACCAACTCCCGAGTCTCTAGGACGTTCCTAAAAAAATTTGATTTTTTCCCATAGGAATGCATGGGTTAGGGTTAGGGTTAGGGTTGGAGCTAGGGTTAGGGTTAGGGTTAGGGTTGGAGTTAGGGTTAGTGTTGGAGCTAGGGTTAGGGTTGGGCTTGGAGCTAGGATTTTTCTGAGTGCAATGAACCAACTCCCGAGTCTCTAGGACGTTCCTAATAAAATTTGATTTTTTCCCATAGGAATGCATGGGTTAGGGTTAGGGTAAGGGTTGGAGCTAGGGTTAGGGGTAAGGGTTAGGGTTGGAGTTAGGGTTAGTGTTGGAGCTAGGGTTAGGGTTGGGCTTGGAGCTAGGATTTTTCTGAGTGCACTGAACCAACTCCCGAGTCTCTAGGACATTCCTAAAAAAATTTGATTTTTTCCCATAGGAATGCATGGTTTAGGGTTATGGTCAGGGTTAGGGTTGGAGCTAGGGTTAGGGTTAGGGTTAGGGTTGGAGTTAGGGTTAGTGTTGGAGCTAGGGTTAGGGTTGGGCTTGGAGCTAGGATTTTTCTGAGTGGAATGAACCAACTCCCGAGTCTCTAGGACGTTCCTAAAAAAATTTGATTTTTTCCCATAGGAATGCATGGGTTAGGGTTAGGGTTAGGGTTGGAGCTAGGGTTAGGGTTAGGGTTAGGGTTGGAGTTAGGGTTAGTGTTGGAGCTAGGGTTAGGGTTGGGCTTGGAGCTAGGATTTTTCTGAGTGCACTGAACCAACTCCCGAGTCTCTAGGACATTCCTAAAAAAATTGATTTTTTTCCCATAGGAATGCATGGGTTAGGGTTATGGTTAGGTTTAGGGTTGGAGCTAGGGTTAGGGTAAGGGTTAGGGTTGGAGTTAGGGTTAGTGTTGGAGCTAGGGTTAGGGTTGGGCTTGGAGCTAGGATTTTTCTGAGTGCAATGAACCAACTCCCGAGTCTCTTGGACGTTCCTAAAAAAATTTGATTTTTTCCCATAGGAATGCATGGGTTAAGGTTAGGGTTAGGGTTGGAGCTAGGGTTAGGGTTAGGGTTAGGGTTGGAGTTAGGGTTAGTGTTGGAGCTAGGGTTAGGGTTGGGCTTGGAGCTAGGATTTTTCTGAGTGCAATGAACCAACTCCCGAGTCTCTAGGACGTTCCTAAAAAAATTTGATTTTTTCCCATAGGAATGCATGGGTTAGGGTTAGGGTTAGGGTTGGAGCTAGGGTTAGGGTTAGGGTTAGGGTTGGAGTTAGGGTTAGTGTTGGAGCTAGGGTTAGGGTTGGGCTTGGAGCTAGGATTTTTCTGAGTGCAATGAACCAACTCCCGATTCTCTAGGACATTCCTAAAAAAATTTGATTTTTTCCCATAGGAATGCATGGGTTAGGGTTAGGGTTAGGGTTGGAGCTAGGGTTAGGGTTAGGGTTAGGGTTGGAGTTAGGGTTAGTGTTGGAGCTAGGGTTAGGGTTGGGCTTGGAGCTAGGATTTTTCTGAGTGCACTGAACCAACTCCCGAGTCTCTAGGACATTCCTAAAAAAATTTGATTTTTTCCCATAGGAATGCATGGGTTAGGGTTATGGTTAGGGTTAGGGTTGGAGCTAGGGTTAGGGTTAGGGTTAGGGTTGGAGTTAGGGTTAGTGTTGGAGCTAGGGTTAGGGTTGGGCTTGGAGCTAGGATTTTTCTGAGTGCACTGAACCAACTCCCGAGTCTCTAGGACATTCCTAAAAAAATTTGATTTTTTCCCATAGGAATGCATGGGTTAGGGTTAGGGTTAGGGTTGGAGCTAGGGTTAGGGTTAGGGTTAGGGTTGGAGTTAGGGTTAGTGTTGGAGCTAGGGTTAGGGTTGGGCTTGGAGCTAGGATTTTTCTGAGTGCAATGAACCAACTCCCGAGTCTCTAGGATGTTCCCTAAAAAAATTTGATTTTTTCCCATAGGAATGCATGGGTTAGGGTTAGGGTTAGGGTTGGAGCTAGGGTTAGGGTTAGGGTAAGGGTTGGAGTTAGGGTTAGTGTTGGAGCTAGGGTTAGGGTTGGGCTTGGAGCTAGGATTTTTCTGAGTGCACTGAACCAACTCCCGAGTCTCTAGGACATTCCTAAAAAAATTTGATTTTTTCCCATAGGAATGCATGGGTTAGGGTTAGGGTTAGGGTTGGAGCTAGGGTTAGGGTTAGGGTTAGGGTTGGAGTTAGGGTTAGTGTTGGAGCTAGGGTTAGGGTTGGGCTTGGAGCTAGGATTTTTCTGAGTGCACTGAACCAACTCCCGAGTCTCTAGGACATTCCTAAAAAAATTTGATTTTTTCCCATAGGAATGCATGGGTTAGGGTTAGGGTTAGGGTTAGGGTTGGAGCTAGGGTTAGGGTTAGGGTTAGGGTTGGAGTTAGGGTTAGTGTTGGAGCTAGGGTTAGGGTTGGGCTTGGAGCTAGGATTTTTCTGAGTGCACTGAACCAACTCCCGAGTCTCTTGGACGTTCCTAAAAAAATTTGATTTTTTCCCATAGGAATGCATGGGTTAGGGTTATGGTTAGGGTTAGGGTTGGAGCTAGGGTTAGGGTTAGGGTTAGGGTTGGAGTTAGGGTTAGTGTTGGAGCTAGGGTTAGGGTTGGGCTTGGAGCTAGGATTTTTCTGAGTGCAATGAACCAACTCCCGAGTCTCTAGGACGTTCCTAAAAAAATTTGATTTTTTCCCATAGGAATGCATGGGTTAGGGTTAGGGTTAGGGTTGGAGCTAGGGTTAGGGTTAGGGTTAGGGTTGGAGTTAGGGTTAGTGTTGGAGCTAGGGTTAGGGTTGGGCTTGGAGCTAGGATTTTTCTGAGTGCACTGAACCAACTCCCGAGTCTCTAGGACGTTCCTAAAAAAATTTGATTTTTTCCCATAGGAATGCATGGGTTAGGGTTATGGTTAGGGTTAGGGTTGGAGCTAGGGTTAGGGTTAGGGTTAGGGTTGGAGTTAGGGTTAGTGTTGGAGCTAGGGTTAGGGTTGGGCTTGGAGCTAGGATTTTTCTGAGTGCAATGAACCAACTCCCGAATCTCTTGGACGTTCCTAAAAAAATTTGATTTTTTCCCATAGGAATGCATGGGTTAGGGTTAGGGTTAGGGTTGGAGCTAGGGTTAGGGTTAGGGTTAGGGTTGGAGTTAGGGTTAGTGTTGGAGCTAGGGTTAGGGTTGGGCTTGGAGCTAGGATTTTTCTGAGTGCACTGAACCAACTCCCGAGTCTCTAGGACATTCCTAAAAAAATTGATTTTTTCCCATAGGAATGCATGGTTTAGGGTTATGGTTAGGGTTAGGGTTGGAGCTAGGGTTAGGGTTAGGGTTAGGGTTGGAGTTAGGGTTAGTGTTGGAGCTAGGGTTAGGGTTGCGCTTGGAGCTAGGATTTTTCTGAGTGCAATGAACCAACTCCCGAGTCTCTAGGACGTTCCTAAAAAAATTTGATTTTTTCCCATAGGAATGCATGGGTTAGGGTTAGGGTTAGGGTTGGAGCTAGGGTTAGGGTTAGGGTTAGGGTTGGAGTTAGGGTTAGTGTTGGAGCTAGGGTTAGGGTTGGGCTTGGAGCTAGGATTTTTCTGAGTGCACTGAACCAACTCCCGAGTCTCTAGGACATTCCTAAAAAAATTTGATTTTTTCCCATAGGAATGCATGGGTTAGGGTTATGGTTGGGGTTAGGGTTGGAGCTAGGGTTAGGGTTAGGGTTAGGGTTGGAGTTAGGGTTAGTGTTGGAGCTAGGGTTAGGGTTGGGCTTGGAGCTAGGATTTTTCTGAGTGCACTGAACCAACTCCCGAGTCTCTAGGACGTTCCTAAAAAAATTTGATTTTTTCCCATAGGAATGCATGGGTTAGGGTTAGGGTTAGGGTTGGAGCTAGGGTTAGGGTTAGGGTTAGGGTTAGGGTTGGAGTTAGGGTTAGTGTTGGAGCTAGGGTTAGGGTTGGGCTTGGAGCTAGGATTTTTCTGAGTGCACTGAACCAACTCCCGAGTCTCTAGGATATTCCTAAAAAAATTTGATTTTTTCCCATAGGAATGCATGGGTTAGGGTTAGGGTTAGGGTTGGAGCTAGGGTTAGGGTTAGGGTTAGGGTTGGAGTTAGGGTTAGTGTTGGAGCTAGGGTTAGGGTTGGGCTTGGAGCTAGGATTTTTCTGAGTGCACTGAACCAACTCCCGAGTCTCTAGGACATTCCTAAAAAAATTTGATTTTTTCCCATAGGAATGCATGGGTTAGGGTTATGGTTAGGGTTAGGGTTGGAGCTAGGGTTAGGGTTAGGTTTAGGGTTGGAGTTAGGGTTAGTGTTGGAGCTAGGGTTAGGGTTGGGCTTGGAGCTAGGACTTTTCTGAGTGCAATGAACCAACTCCCGAGTCTCTAGGACGTTCCCTAAAAAAATTTGATTTTTTCCCATAGGAATGCATGGGTTAGGGTTAGGGTTAGGGTTGGAGCTAGGGTTAGGGTTAGGGTTAGGGTTGGAGTTAGGGTTAGTGTTGGAGCTAGGTTTAGGGTTGGGCTTGGAGCTAGGATTTTTCTGAGTGCACTGAACCAACTCCCGAGTCTCTAGGACATTCCTAAAAAAATTTGATTTTTTCCCATAGGAATGCATGGGTTAGGGTTATGGTTGGGGTTAGGGTTGGAGCTAGGGTTAGGGTTAGGGTTAGGGTTGGAGTTAGGGTTAGTGTTGGAGCTAGGGTTAGGGTTGGGCTTGGAGCTAGGATTTTTCTGAGTGCACTGAACCAACTCCCGAGTCTCTAGGACATTCCTAAAAAAATTGATTTTTTCCCATAGGAATGCATGGGTTAGGGTTATGGTTAGGGTTAGGGTTGGAGCGAGGGTTAGGGTTAGGGTTAGGGTTGGAGTTAGGGTTAGTGTTGGAGCTAGGGTTAGGGTTGGGCTTGGAGCTAGGATTTTCTGAGTGCAATGAACCAACTCCCGAGTCTCTAGGACGTTCCTAAAAAAATTTGATTTTTTCCCATAGGAATGCATGGGTTAGGGTTAGGGTTAGGGTTGGAGCTAGGGTTAGGGTTAGGGTTAGGGTTAGGGTTGGAGTTAGGGTTAGTGTTGGAGCTAGGGTTAGGGTTGGGCTTGGAGCTAGGATTTTTCTGAGTGCACTGAACCAACTCCCGAGTCTCTAGGACATTCCTAAAAAAATTTGATTTTTTCCCATAGGAATGCATGGTTTAGGGTTATGGTTAGGGTTAGGGTTGGAGCTAGGGTTAGGGTTAGGGTTAGGGTTGGAGTTAGGGTTAGTGTTGGAGCTAGGGTTAGGGTTGGGCTTGGAGCTAGGATTTTTCTGAGTGCAATGAACCAACTCCCGAGTCTCTAGGACGTTCCCTAAAAAAAATTGATTTTTTTCCCATAGGAATGCATGGGTTAGGGTTATGGTTAGGGTTAGGGTTGGAGCTAGGGTTAGGGTTAGGGTTAGGGTTGGAGTTAGGGTTAGTGTTGGAGCTAGGGTTAGGGTTGGGCTTGGAGCTAGGATTTTTATGAGTGCACTGAACCAACTCCCGAGTCTCTAGGACATTCCTAAAAAAAATTGATTTTTTCCCATAGGAATGCATGGGTTAGGATTATGGTTAGGGTTAGGGTTGGAGCTAGGGTTAGGGTTAGGGTTAGGGTTGGAGTTAGGGTTAGTGTTGGAGCTAGGGTTAGGGTTGGGCTTGGAGCTAGGATTTTTCTGAGTGCAATGAACCAACTCCCGAGTCTCTAGGACGTTCCTAAAAAAATTGATTTTTTCCCATAGGAATGCATGGGTTAGGGTTAGGGTTAGGGTTGGAGCTAGGGTTAGGGTTAGGGTTAGGGTTGGAGTTAGGGTTAGTGTTGGAGCTAGGGTTAGGGTTGGGCTTGGAGCTAGGATTTTTCTGAGTGCACTGAACCAACTCCCGAGTCTCTAGGACATTCCTAAAAAAATTTGATTTTTTCCCATAGGAATGCATGGGTTAGGGTTATGGTTAGGGTTAGGGTTGGAGCTAGGGTTAGGGTTAGGGTTAGGGTTGGAGTTAGGGTTAGTGTTGGAGCTAGGGTTAGGGTTGGGCTTGGAGCTAGGATTTTTATGAGTGCACTGAACCAACTCCCGAGTCTCTAGGATATTCCTAAAAAAATTTGATTTTTTCCCATAGGAATGCATGGGTTAGGGTTAGGGTTAGGGTTGGAGCTAGGGTTAGGGTTAGGGTTAGGGTTGGAGTTAGGGTTAGTGTTGGAGCTAGGGTTAGGGTTGGGCTTGGAGCTAGGATTTTTCTGAGTGCAATGAACCAACTCCCGAGTCTCTAGGACGTTCCTAAAAAAATTTGATTTTTTCCCATAGGAATGCATGGGTTAGGGTTAGGGTTAGGGTTGGAGCTAGGGTTAGGGTTAGGGTTAGGGTTAGGGTTGGAGTTAGGGTCAGTGTTGGAGCTAGGGTTAGGGTTGGGCTTGGAGCTAGGATTTTTCTGAGTGCACTGAACCAACTCCCGAGTCTCTAGGACATTACTAAAAAAATTTGATTTTTTCCCATAGGAATGCATGGGTTAGGGTTAGGGTTAGGGTTGGAGCTAGGGTTAGGGTTAGGGTTAGGGTTGGAGTTAGGGTTAGTGTTGGAGCTAGGGTTAGGGTTGGGCTTGGAGCTAGGATTTTTCTGAGTGCACTGAACCAACTCCCGAGTCTCTAGGACGTTCCTAAAAAAATTTGATTTTTTCCCATAGGAATGCATGGGTTAGGGTTATGGTTATGGTTAGGGTTGGAGCTAGGGTTAGGGTTAGGGTTAGGGTTGGAGTTAGGGTTAGTGTTGGAGCTAGGGTTAGGGTTGGGCTTGGAGCTAGGATTTTTCTGAGTGCAATGAACCAACTCCCGAGTGTCTAGAACGTTCCTAAAAAAAATTGATTTTTTCCCATAGGAATGCATGGGTTAGGGTTAGGGTTAGGGTTGGAGCTAGGGTTAGGGTTAGGGTTAGGGTTGGAGTTAGGGTTAGTGTTGGAGCTAGGGTTAGGGTTGGGCTTGGAGCTAGGATTTTTCTGAGTGCAATGAACCAACTCCCGAGTCTCTAGGACGTTCCTAAAAAAATTTGTTTTTTTCCCATAGGAATGCATGGGTTAGGGTTATGGTTAAGGTTAGGGTTGGAGCTAGGGTTAGGGTTAGGGTTAGGGTTGGAGTTAGGGTTAGTGTTGGAGCTAGGGTTAGGGTTGGGCTTGGAGCTAGGATTTTTCTGAGTGCAATGAACCAACTCCCGAGTCTCTAGGACGTTCCTAAAAAAATTTGATTTTTTCCCATAGGAATGCATGGGTTAGGGTTATGGTTAGGGTTAGGGTTGGAGCTAGGGTTAGGGTTAGGGTTAGGGTTGGAGTTAGGGTTAGTGTTGGAGATAGGGTTAGGGTTGGGCTTGGAGCTAGGATTTTTCTGAGTGCAATGAACCAACTCCCGAGTCTCTAGGACGTTCCTAAAAAAATTTGATTTTTTCCCATAGGAATGCATGGGTTAGGGTTAGGGTTAGGGTTGGAGCTAGGGTTAGGGTTAGGGTTAGGGTTGGAGTTAGGGTTAGTGTTGGAGCTAGGGTTAGGGTTGGGCTTGGAGCTAGGATTTTTCTGAGTGCAATGAACCAACTCCCGAGTCTCTAGGACGTTCCTAAAAAAATTTGATTTTTTCCCATAGGAATGCATGGGTTAGGGTTAGGGTTAGGGTTGGAGCTAGGGTTAGGGTTAGGGTTAGGGTTGGGGTTAGGGTTGGAGCTAGGGTTAGGGTTAGGGTTAGGGTTGGAGTTAGGGTTAGTGTTGGAGCTAGGGTTAGGGTTGGGCTTGGAGCTAGGATTTTTCTGAGTGCAATGAACCAACTCCCGAGTCTCTAGGACGTTCCTAAAAAATTTTGATTTTTTCCCATAGGAATGCATGGGTTAGGGTTAGGGTTAGGGTTGGAGTTAGGGTTAGTGTTGGAGCTAGGGTTAGGGTTGGGCTTGGAGCTAGGATTTTTCTGAGTGCAATGAACCAACTCCCGAGTCTCTAGGACGTTCCTAAAAAAATTTGATTTTTTCCCATAGGAATGCATGGGTTAGGGTTAGGGTTAGGGTTGGAGCTAGGGTTAGGGTTAGGGTTAGGGTTGGAGTTAGGGTTAGTGTTGGAGCTAGGGTTAGGGTTGGGCTTGGAGCTAGGATTTTTCTGAGTGCAATGAACCAACTCCCGAGTCTCTAGGACGTTCCAAAAAAATTTTGATTTTTTTCCCATAGGAATGCATGGGTTAGGGTTATGGTTAGGGTTAGGGTTGGAGCTAGGGTTAGGGTTAGGGTTAGGGTTGGAGTTAGGGTTAGTGTTGGAGCTAGGGTTAGGGTTGGGCTTGGAGCTAGGATTTTTCTGAGTGCAATGAACCAACTCCCGAGTCTCTAGGACGTTCCTAAAAAAATTTGATTTTTTCCCATAGGAATGCATGGGTTAGGGTTAGGGTTAGGGTTGGAGCTAGGGTTAGGGTTAGGGTTAGGGTTAGGGTTGGAGTTAGGGTTAGTGTTGGAGCTAGGGTTAGGGTTGGGCTTGGAGCTAGGATTTTTCTGAGTGCAATGAACCAACTCCCGAGTCTCTAGGACGTTCCTAAAAAATTTGATTTTTTCCCATAGGAATGCATGGGTTAGGGTTAGGGTTAGGGTTGGAGCTAGGGTTAGGGTTAGGGTTAGGGTTAGGGTTGGAGTTAGGGTTAGTGTTGGAGCTAGGGTTAGGGTTGGGCTTGGAGCTAGGATTTTTCTGAGTGCACTGAACCAACTCCCGAGTCTCTAGGACATTCCTAAAAAAATTTGATTTTTTCCCATAGGAATGCATGGGTTAGGGTTAGGGTTAGGGTTGGAGCTAGGGTTAGGGTTAGGGTTAGGGTTGGAGTTAGGGTTAGTGTTGGAGCTAGGGTTAGGGTTGGGCTTGGAGCTAGGATTTTTCTGAGTGCACTGAACCAACTCCCGAGTCTCTAGGACGTTCCTAAAAAAATTTGATTTTTTCCCATAGGAATGCATGGGTTAGGGTTATGGTTAGGGTTAGGGTTGGAGCTAGGGTTAGGGTTAGGGTTAGGGTTGGAGTTAGGGTTAGTGTTGGAGCTAGGGTTAGGGTTGGGCTTGGAGCTAGGGTTTTTCTGAGTGCAATGAACCAACTCCCGAGTCTCTAGGACGTTCCTAAAAAAATTTGATTTTTTCCCATAGGAATGCATGGGTTAGGGTTAGGGTTAGGGTTGGAGCTAGGGTTAGGGTTAGGGTTAGGGTTGGAGTTAGGGTTAGTGTTGGAGCTAGGGTTAGGGTTGGGCTTGGAGCTAGGATTTTTCTGAGTGCAATGAACCAACTCCCGAGTCTCTAGGACGTTCCTAAAAAAATTTGATTTTTTCCCATAGGAATGCATGGGTTAGGGTTAGGGTTAGGGTTAGGGTTGGAGCTAGGGTTAGGGTTAGGGTTAGGGTTGGAGTTAGGGTTAGTGTTGGAGCTAGGGTTAGGGTTGGGCTTGGAGCTAGGATTTTTCTGAGTGCAATGAACAAACTCCCGAGTCTCTAGGACGTTCCTAAAAAAATTTGATTTTTTCCCATAGGAATGCATGGGTTAGGGTTAGGGTTAGGGTTGGAGCTAGGGTTAGGGTTAGGGTTAGGGTTGGAGTTAGGGTTAGTGTTGGAGCTAGGGTTAGGGTTGGGCTTGGAGCTAGGATTTTTCTGAGTGCAATGAACCAACTCCCGAGTCTCTAGGACGTTCCTAAAAAAATTTGTTTTTTTCCCATAGGAATGCATGGGTTAGGGTTAGGGTTAGGGTTGGAGCTAGGGTTAGGGTTAGGGTTAGGGTTGGGGTTAGGGTTGGAGCTAGGGTTAGGGTTAGGGTTAGGGTTGGAGTTAGGGTTAGTGTTGGAGCTAGGGTTAGGGTTGGGCTTTGAGCTAGGATTTTTCTGAGTGCACTGAACCAACTCCCGAGTCTCTAGGACGTTCCTAAAAAAATTGATTTTTTTCCCATAGGAATGCATGGGTTAGGGTTAGGGTTAGGGTTAGGGTTAGGGTTAGGGTTAGGGTTAGTGTTGGAGCTAGGGTTAGGGTTGGGCTTGGAGCTAGGATTTTTCTGAGTGCAATGAACCAACTCCCGAGTCTCTAGGACGTTCCTAAAAAAATTTGATTTTTTCCCATAGGAATGCATGGGTTAGGGTTAGGGTTAGGGTTGGAGCTAGGGTTAGGGTTAGGGTTAGGGTTGGAGTTAGGGTTAGTGATGGAGCT